TATGTAAGATTGGTGGTATTTGGTGGAGCATATTATTTTGGTTTTTCATATTATTATTTTTTGTTGTGGTTTTGTTCATATGGAATTCTTTTGTTGTTGCTGTTATGAAGGTCAAGTCTTCCTTTGTTGAGTTGAAACCTGCATGTGTTTGTATTATTGATGTACCTTGGTTGCTTTCTGATTAGGAATGAAAAGCTGATTGGTGTAGGTTTCATGTTCTCTCTTTTGATTTTATATTGAACAGATCTAATGACTCCAGTCTAGCTACTGAGGGTCTCTCCAGGAGGGCGAAACAGCCCTAGTTTGTTAGGAGCACTTCAGCAGCCTCAGATGTATAGTGCCAAAGTCCAAGGTGAGGAGACTGGAGATGGATGTGCTAGTCCCTACTAGTCAGCAGGGAAGCCTAAGCCCTGGGGTAGTGGGACAAAATGCTGATTGTCCTAAAATAGGGGAATCTTACCTGCCAAGGTCAAGTCACATGCTCTCAGGCCATTTCCAACTGTCTAGGCCCTTACTGGCCAGCATCAAAGCCTGGTCCTGGGACAGTGGAAGGGCCTGAGGATGGTTCCAAAGCAAGGGGATGGACACTGCATGAAACTCAAACCAGTAGGCTGTGCTAGGCATGAGTCAGGCCCTCTCAAGCCAATTCCAAAGGCCTAGGCCTCTACTAGCCAGCAGGGAAGTTTGGCCCTCAGACATTGGAAGGCAGATGTTCCCAAAGCAGGGTGATGGATGTTGCCGGATTTACAAACTCACCTGGTAGAGGCCGAGTCAAATGTGAGTCAGTTGTGGGTCCAGTTTTAATTAAAACATTGAAGGAATTCATGGATGAACCTACATAAGGGTCAAGTTTTTCCTCATCTGTGTACAGGGCTATTTTAATTAGGTAAATAATGCTTGTTTAAGTGTCCTTCAAGGAAAACCAGATGTGCTTGGGCCATCTCTCCCTCTCATCTGTGTACTACTTTGCAGCTAGAGTTCTGATGCCTATTGACTGACATATAGGGTGCACTTTAGAGCCCTGTATTGTTCCTTTCTATCTTCTGTACATCACACATACCGAAAATGCCAGTTATTAAATTGAATTATTAAAAGTTCAATTTCCATTCAGGGTATAGCAGACAGAATTGGCAGTATCAGCATACCCCAAACACCTGACTCTGATAAAATTTATGTTTCTATTTTATAAAAGAAAGAAGATGATTTTGGTAAAGTGATTAAATAAATGAGTGAGTTAGTTGGTGAATATATGAGCAATTAGACAAATGTATATATACAGTTTTGCAAATGTGCTTACACTTAGAAAGAAATGTCAACCCAATGATTTAGTGATGTTGTATGGCACATTTTTGGAATCCTATTGGACGTAAATGGAGAATGGAGACAAGTTAACTTTACTTAGATGATAGATAGAAAGATAAGTAGGTAGAGAGATAAACAGATGACAAATGGATGACAGAGAGGTGTTAGATACATAAACAAATGATAAATAAATGACAGGTAAGTGACAAATAGATAGCTGTTAAATGATAGTTGATAGATAAATGCTGTATAGAGATATAGATGATATGTAATTGGTATATAAAAAGATAGATAGATAGATAGATAGATAGATAGATAGATAATGGATAGATTACAAATAAAGATAGATAATAGGTTTATAGATACATATAGATGATATATAAATAGATGAAAGATAGTTGATAGATTAATAAACTAATAGATGACAGATGATTCATAAATAGGTGATAGGTATATATATGACATATAGATAAATGACAGATATTTAGGTCACAGAATATAGAAAGATAATAGACAGATAGATAACAGACAATAATAAGGAAGAGCAATTTCCAGTTACCTCCCCTTGTTTGCAGTCTTTGCTTGTTCTCTACCAGAAAACTTCATTTTGAAACTAAGTAATGTGCTCTAGGTTTCAGGCAATTAGCTTGCCTCTTCTTCATTCTGTGCTTGAAGCTTTGGGCCTGTGATGTCTCTAAAGTCAATACATAACGTATGCAAAATGCCCTAGTATGGAGAAGCAGTGTGGTTTCTGTTAACAGAGCTTAGAAATAATTTTACTTTTCTTCTTATAAGTATCATGACCATGTCAAAGCTGCCCATGATTATTTTTCTATACATAATATTTTTATTATTGAATAATAATATCCTTTTGGTTATTTTTGTCATCTATATTGACATCAACATTTTTAAAGTTTCAGGTAAATATTCTTCATTCACTTGATCATCTTTAACAGTATGAGTCGTATCATTTTCATTTTAGAAGTGAAAATACAACGGCATTAATTTCTTTATTAGATTTTATTGAAAATGTAGTCTTAAAGAAACAGAAGATAACTTTCTTTGGGATATGGGAGATTATTAATGGACTTATTTAGAGAAGCAAACTTAAGATGACTGAGTCTTTAAACATAATTTAGTTCCATGGTACAAGCATTTCTAAGTTGGAAAGTCCTTTGGAGATAATTAAAACTGAACTATCTCTTTCTTCCTTAAGATGTGAGACTAAAGTGTGGGGAGATGAAGTAACTTCCAGGTCACAGACAGAATTGGAAACAAGTTAACACAGGCCATCCACACAGTCAGTTATTTTTTTCCCAGCTAAATCATACCAACAGCCCTAATCTTGCTGCTTATAGTGCTAATAATGGCTGTTGCTTTCAGTATATTTTCTTGTCAGTACTGCCTAAGAGAAAGGCCTTGAGTTATTGCTTTACTTTATGGGTCTTTGTTTCCTCCGTTTGTAAAACTAAGAGGTGGAAGAGGGAAGAAACCACATGATTTCTCTGCTCAGTTCCTTTTCAGCACTGAGAATCCATGAAGAATAATGGTGCAATTATGTGGGCAAGATTCTCAGAAAGCAAAAGCTTTTCAAGTCTTCCTATTTCCTTCTCTGCTTTATTTGTGAGGATGTTCAGAATTAAATTGCTCATCCAATTGCAGTAAATGCCTAAGCCCAGGTTACACAGCAGATTGTCCAACATACTTCAGGCATTGCCTTGCAACCTTAAGATTTATTTATTTTTATTTTCACTTACATTATATGTGTGAGCCTGAGTGCAACGGCAGGATCCAGAAGAGGGTATTATAGCCCCTGGAACTGCAGTTTAAGGTGGTTGTCAGCCACCTGATCTGGGTGCTGGGAACTGAAAATGGTTCCCCTGGAAGAGCAGCAAGTGATCTAAACCACGGAGCCATCTTTCCAAGCCTGTCTTGTAATGTTTTAGTCTTGGTTGATGTTTACTGTTAGCCCTGCTCCTGTTTCCAGCTTAGCTGCCCTGCTTTTGTTGTGTGCCAACTGAACCCTGAGGTCCAGGGAGGTGAAGTGAGCCATTCAAGTTTGTTATTGGCAGAAATATGTTTCAAGTGCAGGCCTCTCTGCCTTTAAAATCGAAGTCCTCTCTCCTGTACTTATCTGACAGTCTTGCCTCTATTGTTCTTCCACCCTGATTGAGAGGCCCTCGTGTCTGTGTATTCATTCATTATAAAACCTGAAGATGTTTTAAAAATATTTTATTCATTATTTTTATTTTTTTAATGTATATGACTGTATTGCCTGCATGTAAGTGCACCCGTGTTGTGCAGTCCCCCAATAGGTCAGAAAAGGGCCATAGATTCCCTAGAACTGGAGTTACAAACAGTTGTTAGCCAACATGTGGGTCCTGGGAATTGAACCTGGGTCCTCTGCAAGAGCAGCCAGTGCTCTTAACCACTAAGCTCTCTCCCCAGCCCCCTTTAAAGATGTTTTTATGTGCATGCATATGTGCATATACGCAGGTGCAGGTGTGTGCATTTTCATATGTATGCATGTACACATGTGGTTTTATTTTTTCCGTTGAGATAGAGACTCTCATTGACCTGGAGATAGCTAAGTAGGCCAGGCTGGCTGGCCAAGGAAGCCCAGGGAACCTCCTCTCTCCTCCTCCTTCTCAGTGCTAGGATTGCAAACATGCACCACCATGCCCAGATTTTTTACATGGCTTCAGAGTATGAAACTCAGGTCCTCATGCTTGACCAGCAAGTACTTTATCAACTGAGCCATCTACCCATCCCTTCCAAATACTTGTTTTCAGCAGAAAGAGGTAATAGGAAAACTAGACAATTAAATACTGAAATTAAATTCATTGAATACACAGTATATATGACATAATTTCCACCTGGATAATGATGTTTCATTTACAGATTCTTATTATGCACAGATCTTATTTCAGTTCATCCTATGAGGACACATGAGCAGTGGTTGCTGTAGGTATAGGCTCTGGTGTCAGGAAGCCCTCCATTCAAATCTCACTGTAATTTCTGATGTAATTTTTGATCAGCTGAGTACTGCACATTCATATTTTCCTTACTTTTAAATGCACTATTGGCTCTGGTCCATCTCTATCAGTGGGATCACATCCAACTGTTCAACCATTCTTGAATCAAAAGTGTATGAGAAAGAAATTGTGTCTGTGTTGGGATATACAAATTTTCTTCCCTTTTCATAATTCCCTAATAATACACTACAACTATTTGCATAACATTCATGTTTTATTAGGCATCATAAGTTGTCTAGAGTTAAAGTATATAGTGTGTGTGATATGCAAATGTGATACCACTTTATGTAAGGATGTTGAACACTGCATGTTGTGGTAACTTGAAAAGTCTTTGAACAGTTCCCCAGGGATAAGAAGGAACACTGAATTTTTTAACTTTTAAATTATGTAATGGCATTAAATATATAGTATAAAGCCTGTGGAATAAGGACTCCTTAAAGCATAGCACCTAAGAGTATTTACCTCCATATTAACTCTAGGTGGCTCTCTATAAGGAACAAAAGTCTCTATTTCTTCTTTGAGGAACAGAAATATTTGATCATACCACATATGCAGAATATTCAGATGGTAATTAATTGCTATTCTTTCAGTGACCAACTGTTTACATGCTCTTCTTTTGACTGTCCTTCTAACTTCTCTTGCTTTGGGTTGTTGTCTCTACAGAAGACAAGATCTGGATGTCAGTGCAGCACAACAACACAGAGCTGACACGGGTGCAGGGTTCTGACCCTGAGAAGCCCTATATCATGACCTTGGACTATGGTGGCAGTATGGAGCAGCTGGAGGCCCTGATTGATGGCTCAGAGCATTGTGAGCAGGAGGTGGCCTACCACTGCAGGAGATCTCGCCTGCTCAATACGCCAGGTAAGTGTCATCCTGTTCCTGACTTCCTTCATGGGTCCTTCAACAGAGGAATGTTTGACAAGAAGGGGGCTACAGTGCACTTGCTCACTGTGCTGTGGAAAGAGGTTGCGCTCTGATGGGAAGAGGGCTTTAGGTAGGAGTCTTGGCTTTGATATTCATCTTATGACTGTGATGCTTTCTATAGCCTATTGCAGTTTTCTCCTTATCTTCAGAAAGACATATTGAGAGTACTTGTTCTCAACAATTGTAGAAATGAAGAGGCTCCTGAAAGAAATAGTGCTTGAAAACAGCATTTGAGCTAGGTGTGCAGAGTGTGGTAGTTAGAAGTACTGTTTCTGAGAGAGGGAAGAAAATGAGAAGATATCAAAGTCCTCAAAGCATTCATGCAAGAGTGATGAGTTATGTCTGTAGTAAAGGATGCCTAAAGGGGCATTAGCAGGCCAAAAGCCCAACTTGAGAGGCAGGTAGGGGCTATTCTGTGTCCTCATAGAATTTTTGTCACTTTAAGAGTAGAGGGTTTAATGGAAATGGCTTTCTAAATCTAAAGTTTGGTTTGTTATATGTTATTACTACTTATTTAATTAATTTATTTCGTGTCTGATTAGTCTATGTGTATATAAGTACACCCAACTGTGCAATGCCTGCAGAGCTCAGAAGAGGACATTATATCCTTTACAGCTGGAGTTACAGGTGGTTGTTAGTTGCCTTGTGGGTGCTGGGAATGGAACCCAGGTCCTCTGCATGAGCGGTCAGTGCTCTCTTAACAGTTGAACCATCTCTCCAGCACTGAACTTGAACTTCTGCTCCTCTTGACTCTACCTTTCATGTGCTGAGATTACAGGCATGCCCAACCAAGTCAAGTATTTGTGCGGTTGACAACTGAAATGAGGACTTTATGCATGCTAGGTAAAAAAAGATAGGCTAACTCTTTTTATTTTTCCTTGGTGCTATACTGTTTCAGAATAAATGGTTGATTTAGTAATCACAAATGTCTTCTTTTTTTTGTCTCTGTTGCCTAAAAAACAAAGCAAACAAGCTGAAGGAAAGATTTATTAGGGTTCATAGTGGTGCAGCCTGTACTAGCAAGGCAGGTGTGGTGGCAGGAGCAGTGTGGTCTGATTGTGCAACAATTGCTTGCTCATGTCTTGGAGGACAAGGAAGCAGTGAAACTAGAATATCAGAACTCAGCAGAATTTCTCCATTTTCCCTTTTGTAGAATGGCAACAATGGTTTGGCAAATTTTGTTTATGTACACACACACACACACACACACACACACACACACATCTGCTTTTACAACTTTCTGTCTAACTTCCTATCCTCTTTTTCTTTGGGTTGTTATTGGTACCTTTTGGGGGGGCAGTCATTTTTCCTTTTTTTTTTTTTTTTTGATTTAAGACATGGTCTCACTCTGTATCACTGGCTGGCCTGGAACTCACAGAGATCATCTGCCTGCCTCCACCATCTGAGTGCTAAGACCAAAGGCTTGCACCATACCCAGTTGGAGTCAATCATTTCTGAGATTATCAGTTCATCCTCTCCTTTAAGACAGAGAAAGGCCACAGTGGTATCAAAGTATCCAGGAAAGAATACCACAGTCTCTCAAGAATTTTAGCTTGCAGTCCTTGGAGGTTAAAGATTCTGAATGGCTGAGGGGCAATAGACAAAGAAATGTAAACAAAGGGGAAGCAGCTCGGTGTGCTGCCTGGCTAATCTAGAAGGTTCAGGAGAAGATACTATTCCACCTAAGTGAATTTTCCAGATTACTGTCACTTATTCCTTTAAGCACCAAATATCTTTTCAAAGAAATTTTGACTATTTGAAATGGAAATCTTTCTCCAAGGGATTATACTCATCCTTGCCTTCTTAAGCATAGAATTCAGGACATAAAATGTAACTGTCTCTTGATGCTCAGGATCATCACTGTGAAATCAGTTCTAAAAATCCTGCCCTGCTCAGCCATACCAACAGGGCTGATTGGTTCAGAGCTCTCTGTCTCTGTTCATTTCCTCTGCAGCGCCCCCTCCCCACACTGCAGGGCAAGCTTTACTGTTCCTTTGGCTCTTTCTTTCTACACAGGTGATAAGGCACAAACGTCCGCTACACTCAGCTCTTCTCAGGATGCCTGCTTCTAGGAACCATCCTCACTGCTTTTCATTGCCTTGTTGGGAGGCTTCCAAGGATTGGGTTACTATGAAATTAGAAGAGCATCCATTCTGACTTGAGGTCCTTTAGAAGAACCATGCTATAGCATATAGGTTATGACATTTTTTTTGTTTTTAATTTTATTTTATTTTGAAATATATATATATATGTGTATATATATATATATATATATATATATAGTGAGTATGTGCACATAAGTGCAGATGCCCTTGGAGGTCAGAGTTGTCAGATCCCTCAGGAGCTGGAGCTACAGGCAGCTGTGAGTCTCTCACCTGGGTTCTGGGAATCAAACTGTAGTCCTCTGCAGGAGCATAAAGAACATTAAACTACTGAGCCATTTTCCCAGCCTGTTATTATTTTGTGTGCACTCGTTTTCTTAATAATTCAGCTATCTAAAGTTCCTTGGATTTATATTTGCAACATGAAGAAGTTAGATTTGGGATAGATAATGTTGGGAGTAAGGGCTTGATCCTGTCCTGACCCATCTTATACTAGCTGCTCAATTTCTATAGTTCAGTTTCAACACGCATTAAATTTACATGAAAATCCTACATTTATAAGACTGAAATGCAGGTGGAAAGGAACATGCAGTCTGAAATCCTTGGACCACGTCTGATACCTCTTAGGCATCTACCCACTAGTGCCTTTGTTCACAGCTTCCATCTTACAGAAGGAACAGAGTTTATGCCACAAGGAAAGAAGCGAAAGAATGTTGCTATATCAATTGTGCAGACAGAATATTTATAATCTTAGAGTAACAAAACTGATTAGAAAACTCATAAACTGAGACAAGCCATCCTCTGGCTTCCACACTCATTCTTTGTCACTTTCGCTTGCACGCACAAGCAAAGAAAATACATAAATACAATACATTTTAAAAATTACTAAACATTTTTATATCAAAACTAAGACTTTAGACCACCAGTTTAAAAAATACTTTTTTTATTATTTTTATGTGTATGAATGTATTGCCTACATGTAAGTATGTGCACCTGTGTCCTGCAATGCCTAAGGGGAAGGGGCATAAGATCCCCTGTAACTAGAGTTACAGACAGTTGTTAGCTACCATATGGGTACAGGGAACTGAACCCAGGTCTTCTGCAAGCTCAGCCAGTGCTCTTAATGGCTGATCCATCTCTCCAGCCCCTAGACTACCAGTTTTATTAACCACAGGCTGTCCTCATATAGATATATTCCAATTAACAGTTCTCATCTTAGGCACGCAGAATTCTATGTTTTCACTAACACTGTAAATAAGGCTGCAAGAACAGTTTTGCATGTAGATCTTTGTAAGCATAACTGATTGTATCCTCAGGATAAATTCCTTGAGGTACCATTGCCAGAGCAGAAAGTATGTATATTTTTAAAGATTTTCTGCCACCTCGACTTCTGTTGTGTATCAAAGTGGAACCATTCTATACCCCAGACAACAGAGAATAACTGTATGCTCACTTCACAGCAATAGGTATTAACTTTTAATTTCAATGTTGGCAATCTTATAAATGGAAAGAGGCACCAAAGAAAATCATAAATAATTTTTGTTGGTGGTGATAGTATTATTTATATATACATAAGTATGGGTGTACATACATGTGTATTTGTTTATGTGCATGTATATGCTGAGTCATGCACCTTATAAGTTGCCATTACTGGTAGCCAAGATTACGGAAGTTATTTAATATTGTGAATTGTCTCAGGTGGATTTAAGTCAGTAAGAGGATGGTGTAGAAGATGCCTTCTTGCCATATGTTCTCTGTTACACAGCAGATAGTGACAGGAGGAAGTAAAGAGAACAAGATGAGAGAAGAGGAAAGATGTGTCCAAACGGCCACCAATGACAGGGGTTCCTGCACTTGTGCTAGGTATGGGGGGCCACAGATCTGCACAGGAAGGTTTATTGTCCCCAAATGAAAACAAAGAAAGAGTGATAGAGAAAGAGAAACAGAGAGAGACAGGAAGACACTGGGGAGGTGGCGGGGTGGGGTGGGGAGACTGCTTGATTAGTGCCACAGAGCAGGGGAAAGGCCAATCTAGTTCTTGAATCCAGCTCACCTGAAGTAAAGGTACATACCATACAAAACCCCAAAGAGCCTACAGTACTAGTGAGATGGAAGTATTTAGAAAGAGACTGCATGTATATGAATTTTGTCATTGTGTAGGAAAATAAAGGTGGAGAGGGATGAACATCCAGGGCTGTCTCTGATAAAAACACTGTTCTAGTTACTTTCATTTGCTGTGATAGAAACACTGACCAAAACCAACTTGGGGAGGAAAGAGTTTATTTTACCTTACATCTCCTAGGTCACAGTTCATCACTGAGGGACCTCAGGGCAGGTATGCGGATCACAGACCTCAGAGGTGCACTGCTTCCTCTGGCCTGTGTGATCCTGCTTTCTTATACAACAAAGAACCACCTTCCCAGAGGTGGCAGCACCCACAGTGAGTTGGGCCCATCCACATCACTCAACAATCAAGAAACTGCTGCACAGGTATGGCCACGGGCTAATCAAATGGAGACAATGCCTCAGTTAAGGTCCCCCCTACTCAAGTGTGTCAGGCTGACAAATGAAGTTATCCAGCATGACCACCTAGTTGTCAGTCCAAATTCCCTAGGGAATATCAAAGGTTTGAACCAGCAGCTTTTAGGACTCACACATTTGATCCCCACACCCCCTCCTCAGTTCTCCCTCCAAGCTCTGGAATTTGCTTTGGTTATCTTCACCCAGCAACAGTGAGAGAAGCCAGGCAGTAGGAGGTCATACATGGTTCACCACTATGTCTCTTTGATTCGGATGACAGAACCATGACACTCTTATTTTCTTACAGTTTCCTCT